CTATGGTAGAACCATGGAACCAGACATGACCCCTGCAGCAGCTCTGGCCCATGTTCCACCATGGCTCTGGTTGGCAGGAAAGACCCCCACATCAGCCTACTGGTAACCACTTTAAACTCTTCCACAGTACATGAACCCTCCTATTCTCCCATTTCTCCACCACATACATGCTTGTCATAATGGGACCAACCAGGCTGGCCTGGGGGTTGCTTGCACCCACCTGAGCTGGGCAGCATCAGATAAGCCATAGACATTTTCCTGCCAGTCCAGTTCTTGAGGACCCAGGCTGGACTCTGGGTGATTTGCACCTACCTGAGACAGACATCATCAGAATGACTATAGATTGTTGAACACTTCATTGAAATTTCCTTTATCCTTATTAACGCTGCTTTATGACATAAAATATGATATAGAAAAATTTCTATGGGTTGCTGACAGAGATATGTATTCCACAGTTCTCGGGTGAACTGTTATGGACTATGTCTTAGTTAGGATTTTAATGATGTGAAGAGACACCAACCATGGCAATTCTTATATAGGAAAACATTTAATTGGGGCTGACTTACAGATTCAAAGGTTTAGTTCTTTATCATCATGACAGAAATCAGGGCAGCATGCAGGTAGACATAGCGTTAGAAAAGGAACTGAAAGTTCTACATCCAGGTCCACAAGCAGCAGGAAGAGACTGAGATACATTTTCTCCAACAAGGCCACACCTATTCCAACAAGGTCACATCTCCTAATAGTGCCACTCCCTATGAACCTACGCATCCATTTTTATTCAAACCACCATATTCCACTTCCTGGCCCTATAGGTTTACATATTTTTTTTAAAAAAGTTTCACAAATTCTGTTTTACTTTTTATTTTTTAAACAATTTTTTATTTTACATATGAATCCCAGTTCCCCCTACCCCTGCTTCCCCCACTTTATCCCCATTCCACCTACCATTCACTCCTCAGAGAGGGTAAAGTGTCCCGTGGGGAGTCAACAAAGTCTGTCACATCACTTGAGGCAGGACTATGATCCTCACCCCTGTATCTAGACTGAGTAAGGTAACCCTCCACAGGGAATGGGTTCAAAAAAGTCAGTCTTTGCATTAGGAATAAATCCTGATCCCACTACCATTGGCCCCACAAATTGTCCCAGCCATACAACTGTCACCCACATTCAGAGGGCCTAGTTTGGTCCTATTCAGGATCCCCAGCTTCAGTCCAGAGTCAGTGAGCTCTCATTAGCTTGGATCAGCTCTTTCTGTGGGTTTCCCCATCATGGTCTTGACCCTTTGCTCATATTATCACTCCTCCCTCTCTTCAATTGGACTCTGGGAGCTCAGCCTAGAGCTTAGCTGTGGATCTCTAAATCTGCTTCCATAAGTTATTGGATGAAGGTTCTATGATGACAATTAAGGTAGTCATCAATTTCATTACAGAAGAAGGCCAGTTCAGGCATCCTCTCCACTATTGCTTAGAGTCTGAGCTGGTGTCATATTTGTGGATTCCTTGTGAAATAAAATTGAAGATGATATCAAAAAATGGAAAGATCTCCAATGCTCTTGGATAAGAGGGATAAACATAGCAAAAATGGCAATCTTACTAAAAGCAATCTAGAGATTCAATGCAATCACCATCAAAGTCCCAACACAATTCTTCACAGACCTTGAAAGAACAATACCCAAGTTCATATGGAAAAAAAACTAGTGTATCAAAAACAATCCTGTACAATAAGGGAACTTCCAGAGGCATAAAGCCCTACACTAGAGCTATATTAATAAAAAGAGTTTTATATTGGCATAAAAACTAGAACATAGATCAGTGGAATCAGATTGAAGACCCTGATAATAATCCACAAACTTTTGAACACCTGACTTTTTTTCACAAAGATTCTAAAATTATGTAATGTAAAAAAAGAATCTTCAACAAAATATCTTTATCATAATGCAAAGTGCATTTAGTACAACTTCAGAAGTCTCCATAGTCTATAACAGGCTCACAATTGTTCTAAAGTGCAAAGTCTCTTCTAAGACTCATGAAAATCTTTTAACTAAAACTCCTGTAAAATCAAAATGAAAGTGGACATTTCATACTTCCAACATAAAATGGTACATGATACGCATTACCATTCCAAAATGGGAGAAAAGGAGCATAGTGAGGAAAAACTGTGCCAAATCAAGGTGGAAAACAAGCTGGGAAAACTCTAAAAGTTTCATCTCCATGTTCAATGTCAAAACACTCTTCAGGTCTCCAATTCTGTTCAGCTTTGTTGACTACAACATACTTCTTTTTCTTAGGAATATTCAGCTCCCCATTAGCATCTTTCCTTGGAAGGTATCCCACTACTCTGGCATCTCCAACATCTTGGGGTCTCCAAAGCAATCCAGGCTTCATGTTCACAGCTTCACACAATGGTCTCTCTTGGCCTCCATTCAGGAACATCCCTGACCCACACCTGGCCTCAGAGGCTTCTGATTTTGCAAAGGGAGATTCTATAACTTTTCTTCTATCCTTGACGCTAAAGCTGGAACCACATGGCCAAAGCTGTCAAGTTCTACTGCTTACTAAAGCTATAACATGACCCCCTCCTTCAATTATAACTTCATTAGTTTTCTGACTTTTATAGTTTCTTTCACTGCCTAATCTTGGCTATTCAGAATCTCAATCTGTAGATCAGGCTGACCTTGAACTACCTATCTCTGTCTCCTGAATGCTGAGATGAAGGGCATATACCACCATGTTTGTATCCAAGTGGTTCTTTAATTCCTTTTCACAATTTGGAAACTTAGCTGAGGTTAGCACTCCCATTATTTCTTTTAATATCAGTCTTTAATTTGTTTATATCCTTGAACACAGGACTTAGCTCCATCCCACTTCCTGGTGCACTTTTCTCCTCAAATTGTACATTTTATAGGTTTTCTTACCCAACTTGCTTCTTTTCATTCTAGCTCTTCATAAGAGTGAACTCTAATAACCACAGGACAGAGTTGATACAAGGCTGTTTTGAGAGTTCCCCTGTCAATGCAATTAATCAAAAACTCTTCAGTTTAGACTCAGGCACATATTTAGACAAGGGCAGAATTAGCCATATTCTTTACCAAAATACACCAAGAATAATTTCTAGGCCACATATTAACATTCTTCTCCTCTGAAACCTCCTGAGCCAGACCCTCACTGTTCAAGTCTCCCTCAGCACCACTGTCTTCCATTGACTAGAAAATCATTGGCTAGCAAAGCTAGTCGCAATGAGAGCTGAAGCTGAAATTATCCCATTTTACTTCCTGGTTTCATTTCATGAAGCCAAAATACCCATTGGTGAGCAATTGCACCCACTGCCATGCTACTATCATCAGCAAACGCAATTTTGGGGGGCTGTCTGCTTACCTAGTGCCAGTATGCCTATTTTAAGCTGTTGATTGTAGGAGGAGAGAGCCACTTGTTGATCCCTGACCACTTAACTCTGAAATAATCACACAAAACCTATATTAATTAAATCACTGCTTGGACCATTAGCTCTAGCTTCTTATTGGCTAACTCTTAATCTTAATTTAATCCATCTCCATTAATCTGTGCATCACCATGAGGTCATGGCCTACCAGCAGTGTTTCAGCATGTATATCTCTGACAAAGACTCCGTGGCTTCTCTCTGACTCCACCTCCTTCCTTCCAGCATTCAGTTTAGTTTTCCCCACCTACCTAAGTTCTGTCCTATTAACAGGCCCAACGCAGCTTCTTTATTAACCAATGGTATTCAAAACATATAGAGGGGAATCCCAAATTAGTTGATGCCCCAGATGGTCCCATAAATAAAAAAATGTATATTTCTATGGGGTGATAAAGGTTTCAAGAATGAATGGTGCAATGTTGGTGAAGTGAGTTGAGTTTGCTGGGTGATTTTATTCAAAGACCAAGTGTGAGGTTAGCTTTTTTATCTTCTGGATGCTTTCCCTGATCCTGGATATCTCTCTCAACACTCTCAGATGTTTTCTCCTTCATGAAGGCCTGTCTAGAAAAAGAAGTTATCCAGAGGGATCCTGTAATGCAAAACTGCCTATGTATACACTGTTCAGGCTAAGCTACTGAAAGCAAAGGAACAGACCTCTTTCTGCAGCCCTGCCCAGTGTGGAAAAGAAAAGTTGTCTTTTCTTCAGATGTCTGTGTGGCTTTAGGGGTGAGAAATAGAAGCCTATTAAGGATGTCTGTATGGAGGAGTGGAGTGGAAAGAAAGCTCTATGTAGATGCTACCTGCTCACCATTGCTGCTGTCTTTTCCAGAGCATTTGTGTGCATGTATAGACCTCAAAGCTCTTCCTGGGGATTGGGACACTATTTCCAAATGGAGGTGCTCTCTATTTTTTCTTCAGCACAGTCTACACTTTTCATGTCAGAGACTTGTACCTTTACATAAAAATACAAGTAATGGCCAGAACATTTACTACAAATTTTCAATAACCCTTGAAACCGTGGTTCATTTGCTCATTTGTCATAGTTGTTAACTTTCCACTGTTACCCTATAGATAACAGGATGATGGTGACATAATTCCAAACAGAAGAGTGCCTCATGTCCTTCAAGGCTTCTCTGCCTTCTAGTTTTCATATTGTAAAATGAAGGCTTAGCCCTTCTAGCATAAGAATTGTGACTGTTCACATACAGATCTTCATAAGAAGATCTTCATTATTCCTTTTTCCCATTTAATAGACCCCTTACAGAGAATGAGCACAACTATGGCTTGTACCAGGATCTTCCATATTCCTACACCTGAGAAGGAACCTCAGCCATGGAACAGAAAGAAAGTTAGTTTCAAAATTCTGTCTCTTTCTAATACAGCATAAGATGCTTAGAAACTATACTGGTATCATCAACTACCCCAATATCACTAGAGGCATTGGTCTCCAGATAGACTAAATAGTACAAACTGGGTTTAAAAGAAGTTTCTAGAATTTGAGAGCTTTGATTAATTGCTCCATTTCTGCAAGCCTGTTTCCCCTTCCTTATGAACCTGTGCCAGACACTCCCTCATAGCCAGGTGGTCTTGACCGAAAGTATCATGCATTCATATCTCAATTTACTTTGCAGGAACGCTACTGGAAAATTCCCAAGCATGAATCCAACCACCCCAGCATGGAGCACGGACAACACAACAATGAATGAAACTTACTACACTAGAAACTTACCCTGTATTGACTCCATCCCCATTATTCTGCATACTCTTAAAGCTGGCATTGCCATGGTTGGGCTGGCAGGAAATGCCATAGTGCTGTGGCTTCTGAGCTTCCACATACAAAGGAATGCCTTCTCTGTCTATGTCCTCAACCTGGCTGGGGCTGACTTCCTCTTCCTCAGCTTTCTGACTGTGCATTCCCTGAATTATATCCTTTTTTATTTCTATGCCATCTACTTTGATATTACCATCTATCTCGTCAATGTATTCATCTTTGCTTACCTTGCAGATATGTGTATTATTGCAGCCATCAGTGCTGAGCGCTGTCTGTCTGTTTTGTGGCCCATCTGGTATCGCTGCAAACGACCAAGACACTTATCAGCTGTCATGTGTGCCCTGCTCTGGGCCTTCTCTCTACTGTTGAGTCTCCTGATAGGGCATGATTGCGGCTTTCTAATACACTATTATAACCGTTCTTTCTGTGAGAGTTATAGTTTTATCACTGTTGCATTTGTGATAGCATTATCTGTGGTTCTTTGTGGATCTAGCCTGGCCCTGTTGGTCAGGATCTTCTGTGGCTCACAAAGAATTCCTGTGACCAGGTTGTGTGTGACCATTACCCTCGCGGTGCTGGTCTTCTTATTCTTTGGTCTGCCCTTTGGTATCTATTTTTTCCTCTTAGATTGGATTATGGAGTTGTATAAAGTTTTCCCTTGCCATATTCCTGAAATGACAATTTTTCTACCCTGCATTAACAGCTGTGCCAACCCCATCATTTACTTCCTTGTTGGCTCCATTAGGCACCGTAGTTTCAAGAGGCAGACTCTGAAGATACTACTGCAAAGAGCCATGCAGGACACTCCTGAGAAAGAAGGTGAAGAAACGGGTTCTTCAAGAAATCCTGGAGAACAGGAAGCAGTCTGGTGTAGTAGTTGAGTGAGTCCTTGATCACACACAGTTGTTTTGAGAATCAACATGGCCTCTATTGTTCAATTGGCTGAGAAAACAGCCATTTTGTAGAAATAGGATGAAATGGGACTTGTTAAACAGAAACTGACTACAGCATCCTAAAATTGCCTTATGTGAGTTCACTGCTTGTGATGTAATCGTTGTAACCAAATCACTTGAGGCCAGGACAGCTCCCACTGTAAACAAACCCTTCCCTCCAAAGAAGGCCCAAAGCAGTGCAGGGAAGGTCAGGATTTGGTATTGAACTTGATAAATATTAAATGAATATTATATTCTATAGAAATGTCCCTATTTTCCACAAGTTGTTTTCTAAATGTTAAGAGAAATTAATTGAATTTCCCACAATCTCAGTTTCCTTTAATATCCTCATATTTTAGAATAAATATAGCAAACAAATATGCATTTTTAAGACTGCCTATTCTAAATCTCTGTCCACCCATTTGAGTCTTGAACTTCAAGTATCTACCATATTTAGCAATGAAAGAATAAGATCAGATTTTATAAATTAACATCCAAGCACACTTAAAGTTGGAGAGAGACTGTCTTTCAGTTTCACCCTTTCATAAAGCCTTGGTTAAGTTTCCTTGGTCATGCCTTCCATGTTCTTCCCTTGTCTTTGCCCTGATTCTTTCTCTGTGACTCTCTAATCCTTCAAGAAAAAAATTTCCAATAAGCGTTGTTGAACTTATTTCCTCTTGAATTGAATTTATGGCAGATTTACACTATCCCCTGGAGTACATATCATCCATGACTTGAATTTCAAGTGTTCACTTTTTTTAAATGATTCATGAATATTGAAGCTTGGCATGACTGCTTAATTGCTTCCTTCCCTTGGCAATTTGCACAGTATTTTCTGGAACCATGGAAGTCTTACCATAGGAAAGAAATTACATCAAGCTCAGATCATCTGAGTCCTTTGTCCTAAATGTGAAGTGTGTTCAGCAATAGGGGTGTAACCTCATCCACTAAGAAATGACCATTGATTACATCTATAATCCATATTGTTTGGGGAGTCACAGTGACTACACTGACCAGCCATTCAAAATGAGGCTTGTCATGCCAGGAACTGGTTCTGTATGGAGATAGATATAGATATAGATATAGACATAGACATGGACATAAACGTAGATGTAGACATAGGCAGATATAGATATAGTGTGTGTGTATATGTGCATATATGTATATATATAAATACGTGCACAGATATAGATATAGACATAGACATGGACATAAACGTAGATGTAGACATAGACAGATATAGATATAGTGTCTGTGTATATGTGCATATATGTATATATATATAAATACGTGCACAGATATATATGTAATCATGTATTGTGTATAATTTTAAGGAAATATAAAATATTACAAACCTTTAAGGCATTAAAAAACAACCTATTATTTGTCCCTGTCCCTCCTCTTCCTTCTGTATTGACCTTCCACCCTCCACCCCAGACAGATTCCCTCCCCATTTTTCCATTTCCCACTTATAACATCTCTATCCTTCTATTCCCTCCTAAGATCCCAAACTTGTGGTCTCTTTATGCCTTTCTGGCTTGTTGTATATGTACATCTTAGAATTTGGAGTTAGGAATTACAATAAGAGAGACTGTATGGCATTTGTTCTTATGGACAGGACTCCATTTGCTAATTGAGGCAAGCAATTGATGAGTGGGTCTTCATAAACCTAAAAAACCTTCTTCACAGCTAAAGAAACAATCAGTAGGATAAAGAGGAAACCCACAAAATGGGAGAGAATCTTTGTCTGTTATACACCATAGAAAGGGTTAATACTCAGAATATATAAAGAATTTAAAAAAAAAGAATTTTGAAAAATTAAGAGTCCGAAAACCAAATCACCATTTGAAAACTGGATCTGAGATCTATACAGAGAGTTCTCAAGAGAATAAATAAAAATTGCTAATAAAATCTTGAAAAGGCCTTATCATCCTAAGCAATGAGAAAAATGCAAACTAAAACAACTTTGACATTTCATGTCATGCCAAGCAGCATGCTTAAAATCAGTTTAAAATCTGACACCAAATGTTGTCTAGGTTGTGGAGAAAGTGGACTCCTCACTCATTTTTGGAAGGAATGTGAACTGGTGTAGCTGCTCTGGAAAGCAAGATGGAGAATCTTCAAAAGACTAAAACTGTATCGACCATATGACCCAGATATACTACTCATTGGCATATGACCAAATAACTAAACATTCTAATCCACAGAGAATTGTTCACCAGTGTCCGCTGATGTCGTATTCACATTGTCCAGGAAATGGAAACAAGCCAAATGTCTTCCACTGGATGAGTGGATAATGAAAATGTGGCACATATACACAATGGAATACCACTCGACTGTAAACAAAGAGAAATCATGAGATTTGTCAATAAAAGGCTGAACCTAGAATATATTATTTTGAGTGATGTAATATTTCTTGTGAAATAATATTTCAATCTTAAATGTTGCTGTGTTTGACACTTTAAAGTATAATTAAGAAAAAAATACTATGTGCACATTAAACAAATGCATATTTCAATAAATTGACTTGGATAAATGTAACTACTTGACTCCAAACCCAATCAAGATACAAAATACTTTCTTGCCTTTTTGAGTTCCCACTGTTTCCTCCCATCATAACTTTTGGAGGTCATTACTATATATATTTCCAATTTAATGTAAAATTGAGGGTGCAAACTGAATATATATATGATGTGGAATTCCACTCTGTATGCTATGAATAAGTTTTATTGCCTTTGGTTAATAATGAAGCTGCTTTTGGTCAATAGATTAGCAGACTAAAGCCAGGAAGTAGCTGCTCAAGAAAATAGATGCCCTGGAACAATGCCCGTAAATCACAAACCTCGTGGTAAAATATAAAATAATAGAAATGGGTTAATTTAAGATATAAGAACTATCTATGAAATACTCCTAAGCTACTGGCCAAGCAGTGTTGAAATTAATATAGTTTCTGTATTACTGTTTTGGGTCTAGGTGGTGGGGAATTGAATAAGCAGCCTCTGCCTACATATGTTTGTGTGTGTGTGTGTGTGTGTGTGTGTGTGTGTGTGTGTGTATATGACACCAGGCCATCTCCTGTAATCAGATTGATGACTACCTATTGTAGGAGGTTGCATGTTTGTTTGCAGCTGCTCAAACTCGAAATAATCACAAAGAAACTGTATTAATTAAATCACTGCTTAGTCCATTAGCTCTAGTTTCTTATTGGCTAACTCTTACATCTTAATTTAACCCATTTCTCTTAATATGTGTATCATGTTGCTGTGGCTTTCCAAGTAAAGTTCCAGCATTTGTCTCCAGTGGGGCTACATGGCTTCTCACTAAATCCTGCCTTTTTTCTCCCAGCATTCAGTTTAGTTTTCCTTGCTTAGCTCTGTGGTAAATTCCCTAGAATTCACAAGGATGACACTAATTAAGACTCCAAGCAATAGTGGAGAAGTTACCTGAACTGGCCTTCCTTTGTAATCAGATTGACGACCACTCTAATTTTTATCATAGAACCTTCATCCAGCACCTGATGGAAGCAGATGTAGAGAATCACGGCTAAGCATTGGGCAGAGATCCTGGAGTCCAGTCAAAAAGAGGGAAGAGGGATTATATGAAGAAAGGTATGTCAAGATTATGATAGGGAAATCCACAGAGACAGCTAACACAAGCTAGCAGGACCTCTGTAATTCTGGACTGACAGCTTGGGAACCTGCATAAGGCCAAACTGGGCCCTCTAAATGTGGGTGTCAGTTCTGTGACTTGGGTAGTCTGGGAGCCACTGGCAGTGAGACCAGGAGTTATTCATAATGCATGAACTGGTTTTTGAAGGCCATTCCCTATGGAGAGATACCTTGCTCAGCCTAGATGCAGCCTTAACTTGATATGTCAGACTTTGTTGACTCCCACTGTGAGAACTTACCCTTTCTGAGAGTGGATAAGGGGAGAAGATAGAGGGAGCAGGAGAAGGGGAGAGGAGAGGTACTGTGGATGGTATGTAAAATGAAAAAAAAAACTTTTTAATTAGAAAAAAAATCAGAAGTCTTAACTCTGAGTTCTTGTAACATAATGAACAAACAATATATGTCTTATTCTAAAATGAAAGAATTGAAAAATAGCAAAATAAAATAAAAATATGTAAGTATAAATACAAATCATGTAGCTTCATGTTCAACATCTGGGACTCACTCACTGTGTAGTTTTCTAGCTCTAGAAAGTTTGTGCAGGTCCATTCTCTAGCTCTTCCATTGACAGCAAACACAGCTTGTCTCATACACTCTGCCATTTACAGAAAACACAGTTCACTACATAGGAGCAGTGTATCCTAAACCACACCTGCCTCTGTCCCTGAACACCATCCTGTGGCACTGTCATTTCTGATATTCAAGCAAGTATAATGGAAGAGGGGTGTCTTCATTAGGGTTTCTATTGCTGTGAATAGACACCATGACTGTGGCAACTCTTATAAAGGAAAATAGAGGCTGGCTTACAGTTGAGAGCTCTAGTCTAAAATCAGCATGTAGGGTGGCATTCAGGGAGACATGATGCTGGCAAGGAGATGAGCGCTCTACATCTTGACCTGCAGGCAACAGGAAGTGAACTGTGTGTCCAAAACTGGGTATAGCTTGAACATATAATATCTCAAAGCCCACCTCCACTATGACGCATTCCTCCACCAAGACTACACCTACTATAAGAAGGCCACACCTTCTAATATTCCCACTCTATAGGCCAAGCATTCAAACACATGTCTATGAGGGCCATACCTATTCAAACCACCAAAAGAGGGGAAAAAAACTATAATATTAAGAAGTCTGCTATGAAACTGTCTTTCTAGAAACAGTTGTGATGTGTTAGGCTGCTTGTTTCTTCCCAGATGCACAGCCCACAAAATAATCACACAGAAACCATATTATTTGCAATACTACTTGGTCAATAGCTTAAGCATATTTCTGACTAGCTCA